TAGCTACCCTTCTACTAACTTGTGAGTTTCTTGAGACCAGGGATAATATCTTTTGACATGGCCAGCAAATGTAATGTCTGTATTACATGAAACAATGGGTGGATGAAATGACAAAGCTTTCCACATTGTTGTTTTTAGTGATCAAATAGCTTTCTTTTTAAATGTTCTAGAACTGCATAATAAAGTAGAGATTTTGTACCAGCTGTGACTTCCAAATATTACACACAAAAATGATTTTCTGTGCCCTATATGGACATAAGCCTTGGAGGGGTTCTGGCATTTTTCTATTTGAAATTAATTTTGGCCTTTGTTTATGACATAATTAACATTTTCTTTATGACCTGGAGCATCTTCCTATAACTGAAAAAGCAAAGTAATAAGTATTTCAAGATATACTATATAGCAGCAAACATAGTTTTAAGGAGAGGAATATATTATATCATCATAGAACTTACCTTATTACGGTCACCTAAAATAACAAATCATGTATCATAATCTATTACGAACATTTAAAAATGGTGGGTACATTTAATTATTTACATATAAAGTCATAGATTTAGGACACTAATAGCAGACTGCTTTTTCGTATAAAACAGTGTCTCTTTTTTATCAAAGACCAAAATGTGAATTAGGGAAACACTAGAAATGGGATCCAAAATATAAAAAATAAAAAAGTTCAGATGTTGCATACCAACTTTTTCCAATTAAATAGACTAGAACACCAATGCTGACCTGAGGGCATGACCTCCTGTCAGTACATAGAGGACTTTGTGTTTGCATACAAAGACATTGCTCAACCCACATCTGGCTCCTAGAGCCAAAATCTACCCTCACTGGAGCAACTCCCACTGAAACATATGGACAGAAAGAATGGGAAAATGAATTTTTAAAAAGTCAGTTGTTTGTTCCATAGACCTTCAGGTCAGAACTCTTCTATTCATTGTTAATGAGAACACAGAGGTCAAGACAAAAGAAGATTTTAGCAGGCATTAAGGGGATGAGATTTCTCACCTTGTATTATTTTAGGAAATTCTCTAGAATTCTGGGTCATCTCCCCACAATAAGGTCTTATCTCTCTACTTCCCTAAATCAGAACCCAAAAAGGCACAGCTCAGTTACTTTGGTAGCTAAAATGCCCTGCTTATAAATCAGGCTTACAATCAGACATTCTTTCGTGTTACTTTCTATTTAGCAGTCTATGTCCTTAGTCTTATGCAGATTATATGTTTCCTGATAAGAACAAAAGTATATTTTTACTCTAAAGTGATAATGCAATTAGAAAGCAACATAAGCATTATAGAAGACTTATTCACAGGGCTTATCTTTACCTTCTAAATCTACTAAACCTATACTGGAATTAGCTATGATTTAGCATGAGTTACCTCACCAGGGTCATAATCTGATTACCAGAAGACAACTGGAAGGAATTCTTCATAATAAAAATACTCTAGCATTAGTAGTCAAGCATCAGAGCTCAAAGAGATAATGCTTACTCTCCTGGTTCTGAGAAAGGATGTATCAACACAGTAGACAGGAGGATGTACTCTAGCTCTAGAAAGTAGGTATTCTAGTAACAACTCTATCTTACTAGCTACTACCCAGGAAAATGTTCAAAGCTGCAATTTAACAAGAATGGCAATGCTAGTGTCTACTTCATATATTTAAAATGTGGATTAAATGAATTAACTGTGAAGGGCACAGATAATTGTTTAGCATCTATTCAATCAACTTTAGATAGTTTTTTTCTATAATATAGGATGTCAGTTTTCAATGCTATAATTGGGTTTATGACAATAGAAAAAAAAGCAGTTTTTTTTCTTTTATAATGAATAAGTTCTCTTGTAATTTGCTAACAAGCCCCCCCCCTTTTTTTTTCGAAACAGGGTTTCTCTGTAGTTTTGGTGCCTGTCCTGGATCTCTCTCTGTAGACCAGGCTGGCCTCAAACTCACAGAGATCTGCCTGGCTTTACTTCCCAAGTGCTGGGAGTATACCACCACTGTCGGGCTAGGACTCCATTTTCTACTCATATCCATGCTTGGCTGACTTAATCCTTCTCCTTTGTGAGACACTAATTCTATTTCTCATTTTTAAAACAAAACCAAAACAAACAAATCAGATTTAATTCCTAGAGTTATTGAATTATTGAGCTGAACCCGTATACTGCTCACAATGTAAATATATACATACCACACAAAAATTTAATTCTCATGGATATCCTTCATCTTAAATATATTGATCATATTTTATAAATTAAAACACTGAAGTTCAGAAAGTACATATAATTTAATCAAATTACTAAGCTAGTCAGCAAATTATCAGCTTGTTAGCATTCTGTTTTTTAAAATGGTAGGTGTGTTGGCCTGAGGATATAACTTTGTGGTAAAGTGCCTAACACACACAGGATCCTGGGTTCAGTCACAAGTACCACAATAAAAAAAAAGTGAGGAGTTTCTAAATATGACTTGTATGGGCATGTGTTTGGGGATATGGTAAGAAAGTTATATATGATATGAGGCCAGGCATAGCGGTGCATATTTTTAATTCCAACACTTGAGAGGCAGAGGCAGAAGTGACAGAAACAGACGCAGCAGAGGCAGATATATCTCCATGAGTTTGAGGAGATCCTGGTTTAAGAGTTCCAAGCCAGCCAGGGCTACATAGTGAAACCTTGTTAAAAAAAAAAAAAAGGAATATAGTCTCAATCTCAAAAACAGAGCATCAATCTTCTCATTATAGGTGGCATGTGGGCATGGTGGTAAAGCCAGGACTTACACTGGGAAGGCCTAATGTGGAATTCCTTTTCTGCCATTAATATCTTTGTGACCTACTAACCTACATATGAAGAGTTGTTAAGAGGATTAAGACAATATAAACTTTGAAGATACTAAATATCATAAACATTCATTTGTTGGGGATGCTGTGAATGTGTTGCTCTGATTGACTGATAAATAAAAACGATGATTGGCCGGTAGCCAGGCAGGAAGTATAGTATAGGCAAGATAAGCAGAGAAGAGAATTCTGGGAAGAGGAAGGCTGAGTCCAGGAGTTGCCAGCCAGAGACAGAGGAAGCATGATGTGAAAGTACCGGTAAGCCACAAGCCACGTGGCAACTTACAGATTGATAGAAATGGGTTAATATAAGATATAAGAACTGGATATCAAGAAGCCTGAGCCATTAGACCTAACAGTTTAAATAATATAAGCATCTGTGTGTTATTTGGGTCTAAGTGGCTGCAGCCCTGGGTGGGACTGGAGATAACTCCAGCAACATTCATTATTGTTGCATTTCAAATTATAAACTTCTTAGTCAAATTCATTTCAATATTTTAATACAAGCATATTATATAATATTGTATAATAACACAATGGTTTATAAAGCAGTTAAAATATGTATTGGTAAACTCTAAGGCATATTTTAAACCAAGGAGCTATAAAAGTTCGTTTAAAATAATCCATTATAAGGAACATGGTATAAATATAATAAAAATACATTTATGCATGCATGAAATTCTTGAAGAATTAAAGTATTATTTCAAAAAATTCCCTCAATTAATTCAACAATACTCCTATGAAATGAAGACAAATATGAATTTCTTGATTTGTGTGTGCTAAACAATTTATATATACCAACTCATTTAGCTTTTATAGCAGCCTTAAGAAGAAACTGAGTCACTGAAATGAGAGGAATTGCTTGTTCACAGCACAGTGCAGCTCAGAAATGGCTCCAGACTCTGGGCCCATACCCAGGTTACATTAACTTTAAAGTTTATGCTCTTGTCACTGCGTAAGGCTGGTTCTTCAGCTTTTGGGCTTGAGGTCCACAAAAAAGCCAGGTATTCACTCATACAAGGTCAAAGAATAACTACTTTCATGTAGTACAAAGCAAATGTCAGATAACATGGTATGGTACCATAAGATTAAATCACCTCCAAATAGAAGATAGTTTAATTTGGTATCTTTCCCGCTTCCTCCCCACCCAAGAATAAAATCTATTATCCACTCCTTAAAAAAATAGAAGTTGAAAGTCGTATCGAAGAAAAGATGGGGTGTTTCTTTATTTTGAAGACAATGCAGGAGTCATAGTAAACAATAAAGGCGAGATGAAAGGTTCTGCTATCACAGGTCCAGTCGCAAAGGAATGTGCAGACTTGTGGCCCAGGATTGCATCCAATGCAGGCAGCATTGCATGATTCTCTGGTGTATTTGTAAAATATTCATTAAAAAGGCTTTGCTCCAAGAAAAGAAAAAATAGAAGTTGGACTGCTTTGGTGACTTAATGGGTAGGGGTGCTTTCTACTAAGCCTAATGACTTAATCTCAATTTCCAGGACCCATACAAATAGAGATCCAACTTCCATAAGTTGTTCTCTGACCTCTACATGAATGCAATGGCACCCACACACACAATAAGAAAGCAAAACAAAAACAAACAACAACAATAAAAAATATTTGCAAATTTGAGACTTTTGGTAATAGAAAAAAGTAAATCAAGAATATGTTTCATTAATCTCCAGCCACATATTAATAAATACAATAAGGATATTCCACTAGAAATGTCTGAAAGGGAACCCCTTCCAGTAAACAGAATCCTTCATCAATAGTTTTTTTCAGGAAACTTAGAAAAACTATTACAAAGCCCAGGTTCACTTAAAGAACTCAACCAGAAAGCGAAAGCTTTGTAATTCTGCCATTAAATACTATATACAAAGTGACAGAATTAAAGTATATAAAACATTTTATAAATCTATGACACAGTGGCTTTCCTCTTTAATTAAATGACTGATTCTCTATAGCAGAAACTTTTGTTTTTTATTCTTTATATATATATGTGTATATATATATATATACACACATATACATCTATATATACATAATCACACACACACACACATACACACACTATAATCTTAGCCGTCCCCATCCCCTACTCTCTTCCTCCGACTCCTACATTTTTCCTAACTAAAATACAAAGGACTTCACCTCCACCCTCTGCTGCTTACCTGTTGCAGAGGATGCTAAGAGATCCATGTGGACTGCAGTGACATGGCAGGCAGAGACCAACAGTGTGATTCAGGTAAAAGCCCTCTTCACAGGTTTCACAGTGAAGACCCTGATAACCTGGATGACACTCACACTGCCCTGATGTCTGGTTGCAGCGCTTCACATCCAAGCTTCCAACCTCAGAACAGTTACATATATACTCTGAAAAGAGAAGGAAGGAGTCATTATCAAACCTTCATTTTTGTTAATAAACATTTGTGACAAATTTGTAAGGCCAGATAAAATTAACTCTAGTTTTGACTTCCTATATTGTTTACATTACTTAAATTGGGAAATGTATACACCAAAGTACAAAACACGTATATGGTTCATAATTACAAAGCTGACATTCTCAATTTGCTTCCAGTACTCTTCATTGTCTACTTCCTTACCCTAGCCCTATGTGTGAGCGAGTGTGTGTGTGTGTGTGTGTGTGTGTGTGTGTGTGTGTGTACACATGCTTCTGAACTAAAGCCTCCATAAGGAGGCTTGGAGAACAATAAGCTAGAAATGACAACTTGTTAAATAATAAATACCTCTACTGTGAGCAGCAAAGGCCTAAGGCTCAGGTGACTAACTCCAGTAAGCTATGTGAGGTCATAGAAAACTGTGTCACAGTTGGAATCAGAAGTTCAATGTTCCAACAGGAAGAAATAGAGAATTAAAACTCAAAAGTAAGGGAAGTGAACAATAAACCCAGAGAAGGAAGTACTAGTTCACCCTGATAAGAAACCAATCACAAGTCAAACATCTTTTCTAAATTAAAATATTAGAACCTAAACATTTTCTTAGGGAGATTTCAAACAGTGTTTTGGATGAAAATGATTTAGAAGCCCCTAGTTTTAGCCTTCTAATGCAAACACTTATTTAGGAGGTTTGGCTAGTATTTCTACTCATTTTAGCAAAAAGAAAGCATTTTAAACAGAGTTTAATACAGTATTAACACAGGACTTTGCAAGCTTGTACAAAAGATGCCCTTTAAATTAACTGCAGGAAAAAATAAATTGTTGTATATATTCTACAGACCAGCTTCGTTCATTCCCAGATAGGGATAAACTGGGTAAAAAAAAAAATGATATTTGTGAATAGTTAAGGCACTATATAAAATGGCATTGTAATGATGCAAATTTAACTTAGTATTAGTTAACTAATCTTAACACTATTCTTTATTATTTAAAAAATTATCAGATAGCAGCAAATCCAGAGTCTTACATAGAAAGTTATAAAGGTGTCTAGTTCTGTATTTTCTAGAAAGACAAATAAGATTTAAAAATAGCATATCCACATAAGTAAACACAAAGGAGTCCACACAGAATCCCGATTTGGCCAACCCCCCCCCCCCCCCATGCTTTCTCAGTTCCTAAGCCTAGATATCAGTTCATTTCTACCAATTTCCTTTGAATCTGTAGATGTAATGAGTATACTAGTGGACAATTTGTTTTCTTTTGTATATTTCAAGCATGGATGGTGAACTATAAAACCTAACATCTTTAGTCCCAAGATTAGGGAAAGGAATCAGCTTTACCTCAAAATCAGGACTCTTATTTTTGGCCCGAGAGTTGTAAACTAGTGGTACATTTTCCTAGCATGTGTGAGGCCCTGAATGCAAACCACAGTAAATACACACACATACTTTGGGTATGTGGGTAGTCTTTTTGAATATAATGAAGCCACACTCAGTAGTTTGCAAACCTGTCATGGCAAGACCTCTCTGCTGGACCAAAATTGACCAAAACTAAATAACATTTTTCTTCTGGAATTTGGGGAAACTTCAACATATATCCAACACTTCTTGCTGGACCAAGTTTCATTACATGCTCATCTAGACAGAAATGTCTAAAGAAAAATAAAGGTGAAGAAACTCTACAATAAATACTGCAAGTTTTATTATTTCTTTACTAATAAAGTATTTCCTATTAAAAATGAATTTGTGTTCTCAACAAATTACATATAATTAGCAGTATTTTATTTATTTTTTAGGACATATCTTTTTTGTTAAATTATTTTATTATTTTATGTGTATGTGTATTTTGTTTGCATGTATGTCTGTGCACCACATGTGTTCCTGGTGCCTGCTAAGGCTAAAAGAGGCTAGATCCCCTGAGACTGGAATTACAGACAGGTGAGAGCCTCCATTTAAGTGCTAGGAACCAAACCCAGTCTTCAGGAAAAGCAGCCAGTGCTCTTAACTATTGAGTTATAGCTCAACCCCCGCCCCCATTAACAGTATTTTTAAAAAAGCTAATTAATCTAAAAACCTATATATTTTTAAAACTCAGTATTTTTTTAGTAGAGTTCTAATGGGTAAACCTTCAAAGTCATGATAAATGGTTATTTATTATTTCTATGGAGTAAATCCAATATTTTCATTATTTCCTAAAAATACTCATTAAGCCTAACTCTGAATATTTGTTCATTTTGTGCTACATTCTGGAAGGTTTTCTCACATAAACAAATTCTATCTCCTATTTCAAGAAAAAGCTGAAATTTACTTTAATACTGTGAAACAAAATACTACATACTTCCTGTAACTCTTATATGAGAGAAATTTAAAGAGACAGTAAGGCAAAAAGACTGTAGAGACAATGAACTAAGGTTTAAAATCCTGCCTTCTTAGTTACTAACTGTATAGTCTTAGGCAAGTTACTCTGCTTTCCTTTTTTCATCTGTAAATAGTTCAGGATAATAGCATTTGTATTACAGCTCCAAAATGGGGCCAGAAATAGTTATAACTAATTTAAGAGTAAGAAAACAGTGGAAAGTAATACCACATAAAATAGCACAAATGTAATTCAGATGTTAAATTCATAGGCCACAGATTTGTTATGCCCTATGGGTAAGACTATTTTTGGACAATGTCTGGAAAACAGAATTAGTACTGTTACAATTGTCTATATATAATGGGTTATATGCAGCACTGATATATATATATATATATATATATATATATATATATATATATATATATATATATATGCCTATGATATAGTGATGAGGATAGAAGAATTTAAGACAGAGTTTTTAAGGAGAAGGAAAAGTGAATATATATTGATTAGAGACCTTTGGTATTATGATGTTAGGTCATACTAACAGTAACAGAGTGAGTGGCAAATTTTTAAGACAAAAAGACCAATCCAACTACAGAAAAGACAATGATATAATATCATGATAATCTCCCACAAACAGCCAAGGAACAGAAGCTAGAGCAAATATGAGAGGGTATATGCATCTTTTAAATTGTAGCTCAGAATTTTGGCCTTTATCTCAGAGATGGTCCTCAAATAAAAATGGCACATGCCAAAAAAAGATGAGCAATTGCAATAAATATGAAATACTGTGAGCATCTATTACGTTATGGCAAGGTAATTTGGTAACTTGTAAGAAAAATTTCAGACCTTTACAATTCTAGACATTCATGTGGAACCATAGGAGTTAACGAAGAAATAGTGTAATCCCCTTAATGGAAAACTATGGAAATGAAAAAAGAAATTTCAGTTGATAAAGTAATAGGAAGGACCTGTTGTAGCCCATGGCAACAGAGGAAGTACTGACTTTTAATGAGGTGGAATCATAGACATCACAGTAACACAAAGGGGCTATGGCATGATTAATGGTAAGTTACCAGTGCAGACACTAATGGAAATGAAATAACAGAGGCTAATCACCGACAGTATGAAAAGTTCATTCAGTTTCCTAGGAGTGAATATGGAATACTGGTTGTCAACTGAATAGCAGATTATCTTCCAAAACCTTGAAATTCTAGGGAAAAACTCTACAGAGACATAATTAGAAGGAGTGATGCAAATACTCGCAGACAAACGACAATATTAGGTAACCTTCTATGGGTTGGTTACTGAAGAACAATGTAATACAGTGATTTGAACCCTGAAAAAAACAAACCCTAAAATCTGGTACCAAACTGCTTTAAGCATTTGAGAACAGAAACGTTAAAGGCCCAGAGAAAGACAGTAATTCCCCACAGAATTTGAATTTATGGGATGATTTTGATGCAAAAGTCTTATGGAGTCACTGAATCTACACCCAACAGCACAATTCTTCAAGTTTTAAAAGTCCCTCTACCCAAAGATCAGGAGATGAAATCTCCCTGGCTTTCAAGGGAGATTTTTTTTCTTGCAGGTCCCTTAAGTTTCTTCTTCATATGCAAACACCTATTCCAGAAGGACATTATTCTCATTAATATAAAACTGACTTCTTTCAAGCTTTTGCTATTTGCAGATGGCATGATAGTATACATGTATGACCCCAAAAATTTGACCAAGGAACTCATACAGCTTATAAAAACCTTCAGCAACGTAGCAGGATACAAGATTAACTCAAAAAAATCAGTAGCCCTCCTATATACAATTGACAAACAGGCTGAGAAGGAAATTAGAGCTACATCACCCTTTACAATAGCCACAAATGATATAAAATACCTTGGGGTAACTCTAACTAAGCAAGTGAAGGACCTATATGACAAGAACTTTAAGTCCCTGAAAAAAGAATTGAAGAAGATGTCAGAAAATGGAAAGATCTCCCATGCTCATGGATAGGCAGGACTAACATAGTAAAAATGGCAATTTTACCAAAAGCAATCTACAGATTCAATGCAATCCCCATCAAAATACCAACACAATTCTTCACAGACCTGGAAAGAATAATACTCAACTTCATATGGAAAAACAAAAAACCCAGGATAGCCAAAAGAACCCTGTACAATAAAACAACCTCTGGAGGCATCACGATCCCTGACTTCAAGCTCTACTATAGAGCTACAGTAATAAAAACAGCTTGGTACTGGCATAAAAACTGACATGTGGACCAATGGAATCGAACTGAAGACCCTGAAATTAGTCTGCATACCTATGAACATATAATTTTTGACAAAGAAGTCAAAACAGTACAATGGGAAAAAAGAAAGCATCTTCAACAAATGGTGCTGGCATAACTGGATGTCAACATGTAGAAGACTACAAATAGATCCATAGCTGTCACCATGCACAAAACTTAAGTCCAAGTGGATCAAAGACCTCAACATAGACCCAGTTACTCTGAACCTTATAGAAGAGAATGTAAGAAGTAGTCTTGAACACATTGGCACTGGAGATCAATGCCTAAATATAACACCAGTAGCACAGACACTGAGAGAAACAATAATGGGA